TATTTTTGAAGACACGTCGTAAACTATAGAGCAGCAGAGATTAATGCAGACCAGGCAAGTAAGGAGACGAGCAAAGTGAAGATACCGTAACCCGCTGTTACGTCAGCAACAGCGGTGGTGATCGTGCAGTGGTTAACGCGCGACCTTCGTAAGGTGGCACCCTAGTTCGGCTCCTGCCAGCTGTCCCACGCTTTACATATTTCTTGGAGTCTTAGTGCAGGTATGTGCTTATTGTACGACATCAGGTGATTCCTGACAGTTTGTGAGGAAAAAGCTCAATGACCTTGAAAAGGGTTTTTTTTTCGTTAATCTATAAGTGCCAAAAACGTCGCATTCGTTCTGGCTCTATTTAGTTTGATCTACTCTCCATTATGTGTCGAATAAATATACATAGTAAAGTAAAGAAAAAGCTCTGCAACCCTTTAAACTCGCCATGAGCACTATAGTGCGCATGCGGCGATCTTTCAATCCAATTAGCAGTATCGATTGGGTTAGTGTACGAATTTTGAACACAGCGTTTCAATCAATACCTACACTTTGCATGTGCTAGATGTAATCACTGAATCGGTACAATGTCGCATTGCAACGGCGGCGGAGGGCGCACCGAGAATTCTATAGAAGTCGCCCTCCCCCCCCCCCGTTTGTCCATCAAGCAACGGTTCTTTTCCGACCTACCAACAGCGATAGTGATGGTGCAGTAGTCCAGAGCGCTGGATTCGTCTGCACGCCCACTGGTTCGATCGCCTGTCGACTATCTATCGACTGAATATACATGGTACGGTAAAGAGAAAGCTTTGAAGCTCACTAAACACACAGCGAGCACTATAGTGCGCACGCGGCGTAGTGGGATAATGCACGAGTTTCGAAGACGAGCTCCGATCAATACCTATATTTTTAATGTGTCAGTTGTGATCTCTGAGTCGGCACAACATCACGTTAATGACGGCGGCTAATTCCCGCTGGACGGCTACTAATGTCTTTGCGGCGGCGCTCACCGTGGATCCTATGAAAGTCATGGTACCTGTGTACTCTTAGTCTCGATTTAGCGGCATGTTTCAACCTTCTGAGGATCATCGTCAATAGGCAGGCGGCATCGCGCCGTCGCTTGCGCGGCAGTCCCCATACGGCGCCACCTGCGTCTTTCTTCCCTCGTAATCCGCCACCTCTCTCACGGGGGCGCGACGCTGCCGTTACAGTAGCTGGGTGATGTGTGACATCGCGCGTGGCACAGTACGAAACGTCTCGTGTGGTCCCCAAAGGGTCAAGTGTTCGAAAGCTGTCGTCTCTGGGCTGTCACCGAGCTCCTTACAACATGAATTAAGGACAAAAGGTAAAGCTTTAGCGCTTGAGGGATGCGCTGTGCATTCGGCTCCATTGGTAGCATCGGCTGGTGATTTCATTTCTGGCCTTTACCACGAATCGTGGTGGCCTACCGATGTATCAAGTCAGTGCTGCTATCCTCCTAGACACGTCGGGTACCGATTCATCGCGCCCGTGGGAACGGAGGGCTCGGTGTGCTTTGGGCGCAGGATCGAACCGTCGGCCACGTGTGTCGTAGAGCGAGCACCTCTAGCCGTTATGCTACAAGTTCCGCGCTAAAGATATGAAGTTCGTTCAACAGAACCCATGAAGCCCTAGGTTTGGTAGATTATCATCCTATTAGTTGAAAACTCTTAGCAGTCTCCTTGCACTTTAATCCATACCACTACTGCTAAGCACGCGTGCATGGATTATTGATCGACTTACGTAGATCAAAGGGTCTTGCTCTGTCCGCCGTACCCTGATCACAAGTTATTGATCTGCAGCTTTCGCGTTTGATCTCTGTTCGTCAATAAATCTCATCTTTATAGCTAAAAACTCTTTTTTCCTCTGACCTCGGCTCACCCTGTCAATTGAATAGTCTTTCTAATCTAGCCATTATCAGGATGTTGATAGAAAATTTTCTTTATTCGACAAAAAAAATTCGCTTTTTCTTCGGCTTTATTTGTTTTTTTAGACATCACTCATTTGCTGGAGAAGAACTTTTCATAGGAGAGTTAGTTAACCATTCTATAGCTGAGATTTCTGGCTACAACCTTATGTGGCCAATTTTCGAAAAAAGCCTTTGATAACGCTCTAATCCAAAATAAAGCTATGTATCTGTCGCGCATATTTCTTGCCGAGCAGAAATCTTTCTTTGGACTATAAGTAATCATTTGATAGCGTAATCACTGCTGATTCCAGCACTGTGCTTATATCCTGAAAAGACCGTTTCTCTGCAACGCACGCAGGTGAAGATAAGTTGAATTCTCTTCTTATGCGACCTGGGCCGTCCTTGGCCAATTCACGTGGCGCTAGGTAAGGCGACCACGTACCTCTCGACGCGATGTCGTAAGACCGGTCCGAGATTGATCGATCATCGCCTCAGCGCACGTAGTCGTCTCAACTAGCGGCACGTGATTTGGCCAAAGACCGCCTTGGTCGCACATGCGAATTCAACTTATTTTACCTGCTGATTTGCAGTGAAACGGTCTTTTCAGGATTTAAGCACCGCGTTGGGATCAGCAGCGATTATGCTATGTCATGGCTGCTTATAGTCCAAACAAAGATCTCTGTCTCGGCGAGAAATATGTGCGTCTGTAACGCAACGTATTGCTTTCTGTAACAACATCAAAGAAGGCTTTTTCGAAATGCGGCGACGTGGGGCTGTAGCTAGAAAACCAAGCTTTCGGAAGGTTACTAACATTCCTATGAAAAGTTCCTGTCTAGCGAATGAGATCGGTTTTTCATTTGCTCCCTTATAACCTAAAAGAACACAATTTTTCATACGTAAGCTCAGATTCCCTCCAATAGCTTTCCAATAGAAGGCGGATGGAGGACGAGAAAATCGCGGACGATGATTTAAAGCAGGTCGATGTAACCTTAACACGCTGAGGACCATGTGGGACGTTTCGTCCCACATCGCGCGACGTTAAATCTCCTCAGTTACTGTAACTGGCAGCGTTCGCGCCCCGTAAGAAAGGCGGCGAATCTTGTGAGAAGGCAGACTTCAGACAGCATGATGGATGCGCGGAGACGAACCCAGATGGTTTTAAGGAAGCATTTTCATCATGAAATCATGAAATCATGGAATTTCATTGAAAAACTTTCTCCAGAGATATTCTCAGCAGAGAGACAACATCTATATCTTCCACATTTCGTCTACATTTCTTATGTTTCAACGACAAGAGTACATCGATAAATGATAACATGATGATAATGACTATGATAGAGATAATGGCTATGCTTTCGATAATGCTAATGATCACGAATGTGATAATAATTGCCACCCTTTTGAGCTGTTTTGCGAACTGATAAGGTACTTACACAGTGCATTCCATTCCATTGAATGCGTTGACCAACAGCCGAACTTGTAGCTGATAAAATGGATCATATTTTCCTTCGATAAAGATTGTGATAATGTTAATGATAGTGAAAGTGATAAAGGTGATGGTGACAATGATGATAGCGATTGATAGTGGTATGGACGGTAGTGGTAATGATTAGTGATAAGATAATGGTGATAATGATAGTGGTAATGATAGCAATGACAATGATAATAGGGATAGTATTAGTTATGATAGTGATAGTTTGATAGTGACCAGTGGTTAGTGGTAACGATGACAGTAATGACTTGTAGCTGCTAAAATGAATCATATTTTCATTCGATAATGGTTGTGATAATATTAGTGATAGTGATATTACATGGTAGTGAAAATGGTAATGATAATTATAGTGATAATGATAATTATAGTGATAACGATAGTGAAAGTGATTATGATGGTGATGACAATGATCATAGTGATAGTGGTGATGGTGGTATGGATGATAGCGATAGTGATTAGTGATAACGATGATGGTGATAATGATAGTGGTCATGCTAAGAATGATAATGATGATGGTGATGGTGATAATGATGATAGTGGTAGTGATAGTGATAGTGACAAGGATAGCTGTAGTGATAGTGATAGTGGTAATGATAGTGTTGGTGGTAATGATGATGATAGTGATAATGATAGAATTAGTGCTTCGAAATTATAGTACTTCTACTGCTTATTTCACAGTGTTATGATGCTACTTATATAACACAGAGAATTGAGTGGTGAGCAAAAACACGGCCTCAGACGGGAATCGAACCCGCGTTTCATCCTATCCGGAGACGCGTGCTCTAACCACTACACCACCGAGGCACTTTGCCCGACCACTCATTTATAGAATTAGTGATAATGATCTCAGTGATAATGATGATGGTGGTAGTGATAGTCATAGCTATAGTGCTACTGATAGTGAGAATGGTAGTGAAAGTGATAATGATAATTATAGTGATAACGATAGTGGAAGTGATAATGATGATGATGACAGTGATGATAGTGATAGTGATTAGTGATAACGATGATGATCATAATGATGGTGGTAATGATAACAATGATAATAATTATAGTGATAGTGATAGTGGTGATAGCGATAGCGATAGTGATGGTGATGGATGACGATGATGTAGTGACAGTTTCCCAGTGAGTGGTTGTCCGTACCCAGGGCGTACTCTGCCTATCTCGTCACTCTCAATTTTCCCACGGTCTCCGCACAGAGACGCACACGCCCCGGCTAGAGAGTGTCGCGAACGCGACGGCGCGACGCCCCTGCCTGTTCAACGCGGGCGCCAGACTGTTAAAGTCGAGTAATTGTTCAAATTGTCTATTGGTCTTATTTCATTCTAGTTGTCTGTGAATTTTTTGATCCCATTATTTACTAACAATACCCAGTGATACTCACTGATGTGCAAAACTCTGACGTCAGCAGGACTCGAACCCGCATTTCACCTTTTCCGGAAACATGTGCTCTGACACGTTGCACTATCAGACGCCTGTGTTGCCGTCACTCTTCCTGTGCCACAACACATCGATCCGTCGGCATCCTACCGTCCGAGTTCACTGTCGTGACATCGACCACGGGGCCAAACCGTTGACTGTGGTGGCAAAATAGGCGTCGATAGTGCAGCGGGTTAGAGCACGCGCCTTCGGAAAAGGGTGAAGTGCGGGTTCGAGTCCCGGCTGAAGTCAGAGCTTTGCAAATCACTTAACATAATTGGGTATATTTGTAGCATCGTAGCCAGCGACTAAAAAAGCCGTTAATTCAAAAAGAATTCCTATCGAGAACAAGCTTTTTTATTGTCTATTCACTACTGTTTCCTCTGGTGTTAATAGTGTTATCGCTGATTTTGTTTACTTGTGTCATTTATTAACGTTGATCTTGTCGTTCGTTTTCGAGTATTTTCTTAAGACCACAGCTCAAATTCCAATATGCCTGGTAATCATTTTTTGAGCCATGCATGTCAGTGGTCCATCAAAGAGAGCTGATTTATAGAGCCCGACACACGAGTTTCGATCTCGCGATCTCGTCAGTCGGGGCAGTTACCCTTTCTCGTCTTTTGCCGATCCCTTATGGGTGCTCCAGTCCCCACACTAGGAGTTAGCGACGACGAACGTTTTACGCTCTATGTCCAGTGAAATTATCACCGAACACAGAGGGTTGTGCACTCGATTGCTCGTGGCTAGTATATCCTATATATCATATCTTTCGTTTCGAGTATTTTCTTAAGACCATAGCTCAAATTTCAATATGCCTGGCAATCATTTTTTGAGCCACGCATGTCAGTCACGTCGCTAACTTCTAGTGTGGGGGCTGGAGTACCCACACAGGATTGGCAGAAGACGAGAAAGGGTAACTGCCCCGACTGACGAGATCGCAAGATCGAAACTCGTGTATCGGGCTCTATAAGTCAGCCCTCTTTAATAGACCACTAACGTTGATCTATTTGTATTTCTGTTTATTCTAAGAATCTGTTACTTTTTTCAGGCTTCGACTTCAGTCAGATGGAAGTGATTTTGCGCTTCCGTTTAACTTACTTGCTAATATTTGTGCAACGATGGCAATTCGTAGTCTGTGTTGGCTTTGCCGAGGAGCTGTACTGTGGTTTGGAAAACTGCTACGATGGTGAGCCTCTTATACCACTGATCTATGTGATCTACATAAGCTGGAAGTTTTCTATTCAATAATGATTCCTTCTGAATGAGGATAGTTTTCAGAGTTTTTATAGGATTTCCGACCGAATTTGAAAAGTGGTAGCTTTGGGAAGTTGAGCTGGCTTTGCTAATTGTTAGAGAGGTTTGATTTTTTTTTGAATTTATTATTTCCAGTGTTGGGGATAAATCGCGAGGAGTTTGACAGAACGACAATATCGAAGATCTATCGGGCATTGGCGAAGAAACATCATCCAGACCGAGTGAAGGATGAGGTGGGTGAGATTCGTTAGAACCCTAAACCCTTAAGATTTCCATAGATAGGAGCGGTTTTGGATCTTCCAAAAATTGGACGACGTACACGCGCGTTTCATAAAGTTTTAGTGATTCTCTAGGTGGAAAATTCCCTAATTAAGTGAAAAAAGAAGGAAGAAAATTCAAAAGTAAAGAAGAAGTGCTATAACGAAATTGCGGATATTTAGTGTACGTACGTCCTATTTTCCAGCACAGACCGCTCTTATCTCTGGGATTTTAGTGTACTACTCTCATCACGGCCACCTACAATGTTAGTATATTATACCTTTATTTCGAGTGTTTTATTGAGACCACGCTCAAATTCAATAGATCCTTTCATTATTATTTGAGCCAAATTGTAATGTAGTCTGGCAAGGGCTCTTGTACAGCCCGATACACGTGCTTCGTCCTTACAGACTCGTCAGTCGGGTAAAACCCGTCGTCTTTCGATCTTTTGATAGTCAGTTTTTCTCGGTAGCCCTACTCTCCCTACAGAGAGTCATCGAAGACGAACGTTTCACACTCTGTGTCAAGCGAAATTTTCACCTAACACAGAGTGTTGCGCACTCCATTGCTCTTTGGCTGGTACTTTTATCATATTATACCTTTATTTCGAGTGTTTTGTTAAGACAAGAGCCCTTACCAGACCACATGACAAGATGGCTCAAACAATAATGAAAGTCTTCGAGAACTCTCTGTAGGGAGAGTAGGGCTCCCGAGACAACTGACTATAAAAGATCGAAAGACGACGGGTTTCTGCCCGACTGACGAGTCTGTAAGGACGAAACACGTATATCGGGCTGCCACAAGAGCCCTTTATCAGACTACAGTGTTAGTTTTTTTTAATGTTTAGGTAATATCACGAGGTGAGTAAACAAACGTTTATTCGGCTAATGTTTCGTCGTTTTCATCTTCTTTTAAGTCTATTGGCACGATTCGATGGTCCACAGTCGATCTATGTCGTGGTTCGAGGATTCTAGAGGCCGTATCGAATCTAAACACGAACGGCTGTGGACCATTGAATCGGGCATTCGGTTCCAAAGAAGGCAAGGTCGCCGAAACTTTGTAGTCGAGTAAAAGTTCCAAATCAACCTCGTGTAAGCTTAGAAAATCTAAGCAATGTTTTTCTTCATTATATGCCTAGCTCGAGGTTTTTATAATACGATTCATTCGACAAGCTAACGTTTTCGGCGGTTTCGCTCTTCCTTAGAGCGTGGATAGATCGGGTTGTTCACAGCCCTAGTCAGCCAAATACCTCCATTACTTCAGTATAAAAAATCGCCAAGCCTTAGATTTGCATCCAGCGTAAAACAGTTTTTTCAACAAATTCGCTACTTTTCATGAGTCTTGCACTGAAATGTCCAAGTGGAACCAACCGTGCGTAGATCACACGGGGTGCGAACTCAGTTCTCACTTCAGATAAGTCTTATGTGATGTCTTCGCATCACCTCATGATAGCTTAGCATTCCTTCCTTCTCTTCATGTTTGGATTGATGAAAGAAAGAAAAAGCTATTCATGTCAGGCCAGAGGCTTACGGAACTTTGGTTCGGTGAAGTACAGGCACTGTATATGTAACTTTCGTTTCGAGTGTTTTCTTAAGGCCAATGCTCAATTTCAAAATGCCTTTGCAATCATTTTTGAGCCACGCATGTCAGTGGTCTGTCCAACAGGGCCGACTTATAGAGCGCGATATACGTGTTTCGATCTTGACGATCTCGTCAGTCGGGCAGTTACCCTTTCTCGTCTTTTGCTAATCCTCTGTGGGTGCTCCAGTCCCCACAGTAAGAGTTAGCGACGCGACGTTACACTCCATGAGTGAAAAACTCACCAAACATAGAGTGTTGTGCACTCGATTGCTCGTGGCTAGTATGTTCAATATATCGTAACTTACGTTTCGATTGTTTTCTTAAGACTAGTGGAGCACCCACACAGGATTGGCAAAAGACAAGAATGGGTAACTGCCCGACTGACGAGATCGCAAGATCGAAACACGTGTATCGGGCTCTATAAGTCAGCCCTCTTTGACAGACCACTGACATGCGTGGCTCAAAATTCATTACCAGGCATACTGTTCATGTAGTTCTATGATATAGCTAATACCACGAGGTTGATAAGAAACTTTATTTAATTATCCATCTTGACGTCTTCGTCTTCTTCTGAGGACGATGACTCGAGATATTGGCCGAATAAAGTTTATTCATGAGCCTCGTGGTATTAGAATATCTATAATATTGTCCTTCACTTGACCGGTTTTCGCTTAAGTTTGACTAAAAACAAACGTTTTTTCTTGGATTTCTTTCAGTTTACACAGCTATTATCTAGTTTTTATTCGGCTAACGTATCAATGACTTCGTCTTCTTAGAAGCCGATTGATCCGAGTTGGTGGTTCATGGTCGTTCATCCTCCCGGCGTGAGTGTTCATGGTCGTATTGAGTCCAGTTTTCTGAGCGGAACACCACGAAGAAGAGAGGATGAACGCCTGTGGACCAATTGCCTAGGAAGAAGACGAAGACGTCGAAATGTTAACTGAACAGTTCGGTAATTTATCTCCTTTTAAGCTATGATTCTGAAGAAGGATATAATGTTTCACTAAGTGTATCTCTATATCAGCTCATATGGTCATTTAACTTTTCTAGGCGGCTAAAGCAGAGGCAGAAGCTCGGTTCCGTGTGATAGCAACTGCCTATGAGACTTTGAAAGACGAGCAAACGCGTTCAGACTACGACTACTACTTGGACCATCCAGAAGAAAGGTGGGAAACGTTCGCGTTTGTTCAGCTGAATGTACTCTCTCCCAGGTCCCTAGGTTTTGAACAGTGACACTCTTGTCCCGTCCGCCTTCTAATTCTCTTAAATACTGTTTTTCTCTTTGTTTCATTGATTTTTATTTGCAGATTCTACAATTACTATCAATACTACCGTCGAAAGGTCATACCTAAAGTGGATGTTCGATTGGTGATTCTGGGAACTATCTTGTCGATCTCCTTATTCCAGGTATATCCATATATAACGACCCTCTTCCAGTTACACTTCAGCAATTATGGCCTACAAGAATTTAAATCTTGCCGCTCTTTATAGCAGCGCCATGATATAACCCTTCTATATCCAAGGACGCTGAGTAAAATGCAAAACTTTAAACCCAGACGAAAGTTGAACCACGTTTTGTCCACACGAAGGCGCTTGTTAACGCTGCACCACCGAAGCCAATGCTCTGCTATATCTCTATCTATCTTAAAAATATTGCACATCACTCAGCACAAATTCTTGAATATCTGTTTTTCAAGGGTGCATGTGGCTCAGTGGTCAAAGGTGTTTGCGACGTACACGTGGTCGATAGTTCGAGACCACGGTCAAGGTTTGCCAGGCCTTCCATGTCTCCACAGCCGGTTAATCGGTACCATATTTGTTAATCGGTACCATATTGGGAGGTTAGCAGAACTGACCTGATACATCGGTAGGCCACCGCGAGTCTTTGTAAAGGCCAGACATGCATTCAATCACCTCAATGATGCTTGATCTCAAGTCGAATGCATGGCACATCTCTCAGGGACCAATCAACACTGAGACCTTTATCCTTAACCCCTTTATTGGTATCTCAAACGTTGAGCTAGTAAATATTGATTAGAGGACGATCAAATCTGTCCCAATTGATTAGAGGCTACGTGGAATCCATGACCCGACTTAAACTGCTTTCAGTACTACAGTGCCAAGCAGAAGTATGCTGAAGCGATAGCGTATGCTATGAC